TTTAGCTTGTGGTATATTGTGGGTTATTAATTGAGTGTTTGCCTGCAAGACCAGTGGTCCTTCGTTTTAGAGGAAATAGCATGAAAATATACAGATAAATAATGAATAAACATAAAGCATGCATGACTCACAATAGAGTGCATTCCAGGGAAACCCAGCTAGAGATGCAGAGAATCCTGGCAGTACATATTTTCCTTGTTTCATACTCAGTGAATATTCCACCTTAAAAACTGTGGTACTCAATGATCATTCCATCCAGTTTTGTTTCAAGCCACTGGGCTCATAGACTTGCAAGTTATGCAGTGTTGGGTGCTGGTGTGTTAGCCCTTCTCTGACTTGGGATTCTTTGTCTCCTGTTTCCCTTGTGCAGTAGCTGCAATCTGTCAATCACCAGGTTTCCAGTGTTTCTTAAATGTTTCTTTAAGGGGCGCTGGTTGTAAAACATGACAAACACCCATTACTGGAGATTGCTGGACACATGACCATGAGTCCACTGTGCATTCTGTGTAGTGTTTCAAAATACTGAAAATTTTGGTAAATAATTGTCAAAATCTGTAAACCTTTAGCTCAATTACACTGTCAATGTGCAGCTCCGGCATGAGGATGTTTTAATGGAGACACAGTGTGTGTGTTTGCATTCAAGTAGCCCTTATGTAACAACACTCATGAGTATGAGGACCCTGTGCGTGTCACTTGTAGGTTGTGTACAATCGGATTGTCTGAAGGAAAGACAGGCTTGCAAGCAGGTGAATGAGTAGCCATTGTACCTGAGTCTGGTCATGAGGTCTCTCCTGCACATGCTCATTGTGGCTTTAGCAGACCATCCAAGATGGAGCATTGCTGTTTTGTGGATGTATTTTGGCATCGAGATATCAGTGCCATTCAGTATTGTGAAAAATTGTCTCCTCTTCTTGAAGTATCACTGTCTTTTGAGTAGTGCAAGTAAAAATTTTGTCAAAACCTGATTAAAATCCTGGAACCAGAACTTAAAGTGAAATTTATTTTCCAGTCCCGTGCACTAGCATCATCAGGTAACTCATGTGTTAATTCCATGTTAAAACTCACATGCCCATTTAGTTTGGATTAAATGACCTCAATAAGTTTGTTTCTCAATGAACTTAATATTGGTGTCAACTTTCAGTCCGTCTAATCTCTCCCAGGATCTGCAGTTTCACGTCTCTGATGGTAGAAATAGTGTGAGCCCAGGTGCCCAATGTTCCCAGTGGGAATTCAGATCCTTCACTGTTCTTTCCCATGTCAGAAAGACCCCAAGTTTATCCAGCACATGAGCATTAAAGCTGACACCTTAATTAGCATGGCTGTCACTATGGGGAACAAGAATAAGAGGGACATTACTAGACTGCACAATAGAAGCTATAATTTACTGTTCCTCCCAGATAGGTCATGGTCTGTAGTTGCTGAAAGCCAGCACTGTGTCTGATTTTGTAACTAGAGTTTGAGATGACTGAGGAGTTTCCCACTGTGTGGCTGTTCCATGTCTTTGCTATTCTCCAGTGGACAGGCACCTGCTGGTTCCCAGTCCTTGGCTAAGGTGAATGGCTCTGCTGTGAGAATTTGAGCAAACCTCTGACACACTGGCTGCGTCCTCTGGATCTATACCCAACAGTGCTAATGCTGGATCTCATAGTGGCTATGTGTTTGTTTCCTGAAGGGCTGCCATGTTGTTTCCAAAGCATCAGTGTATTCATGTGTATAATTTCTGCTACTATTTATCTTCTGATCCTATTCATCATTGAAAATTATTTCAGCTATAAAAAGCAGTATACATCTGACAGTGAGATCAAGGTTGGAGAGCTCCCTGCTCAATGTGTGAAAGTATTATTCTTATGCTAAATAGTCAGAGTATCGAATTTCCACCAAATTGTTATATTTACTCCCATGAATTACTGCACTCTTCAACCTCATCAGGATTTTGTCTAGTGTAGTTTGGGTAACACAGAAATTTACAATGTTTCCCAATGCTCAGAGTAAATCCAGTGGAGTGCTCAGCCACATTTGGGGCATCTGTATCAGTCCCTTCCCCATGAGCAAGGTACACTATGAAAGTAGGCAGAGAGATTGGAAGAACCAGAGGTCAGAGAGGACCAGAGAGGAACAGCATCTCCTGGACAACACTAGACTGCTGCACCCATGAAATCTCAGCATCTGTGGCGGCCTCTATTAGAACTGTATAAGGTCAGGCCTGTCAACATTCCAGCACAAGGGGGTGGAGGGTCTCAAGGGCCCTAGTCACTCTCTGAGGAGCTGTGGAGGGCAGGTGGTTTCTGCTGAAGGAGTCAGCTTTCTTTACTGTGCAGCTCCTGGCAGATCTGCTGTGGGTCAGGGTGTGGCCCCATACCCAGCAGTCCCTGGTCCAGCCAGAGTCAATGGGCTGTTGGCTTTCTTTCTAATGAGCAGACAAAGCTGGGAGGTGGAAAGATGATGGTTGATCTGGAAGGAGTTAGATTGAGGAGTGCAGAGTCAATATGATCAAAATGCAATGATATAAAATTCAAAACTAAAAAATTCTGATTTAAAATTGATTCAACAAAACTGTGAAAAAGAGACATATTCCGATGAGTCTAACAAACTCATCTGTGTCTGTTTCTGCACCCACAGCAATCAGGGATGAACTTCAGCCTAAACTCCAGAACCTGCTAGAAGTCACTAGGACACTAGTGATAAACAGCAGATGGACTCCAGTTTGTCCAGCTGAGGGCCCAGTGTCCAGGAAACCTGCTTCCAGAACTCACTTTTCTCTCCATTTCCAGTTATTTTTCCTGCTCACTGCAGGCCAGGATCTAGGACCAGCTCTGACTGTTGCCCAATTTGTGAGCAGGTCATTGCTCAGACTCTAATTAGTTTAATTTTTTAATATGTTTTTTTTAAATAGGGACCTTACTGCTGATTTGTAATTATAGCTCAATGCCAGCTCTACATTCTATGGTATGGTTTGCATATGGGGCAAGTGTCTGGAGATTGAAACATCCCCCCTTTCTCCCCCCCACATAATGCCAAGAATTCCCCTTTTATTGTGTTCTTGTGCAGCTTATATATGGTCTCCTTGACTAATGGCCATGCCCTAACTCTCAAATATAAGCCCATCAGAAATCATTAACCTGCCACCACGAACTCCTGAGGGTCTCGTGTTCAGAGCTCACTGGCCCCTCCCCTGACTGAGAATCTGTTGACAGTTGGTGGCTTCTAGAGGAGGAAGAGTCAGCTTTCCTTGTGGTGCTTATACTAAGGTAATTTGAGCAACATTGGATGGATAGCCCTACACACATGATAATTTGGACATGAAATGATCTCATAGCTGATTTTAAGATCAAGGAGCACTCGGAGATATTAAGGGGACTATGTTAAAAGTAAACTATATTTATGTATCAAATCCTCAGATATTAACTAAAATGTATTACTTGAAAGCCATTATTTAATGTTATAGAAACTTTTTATATTTTAAAGGAGCAGGGTGAGAATTCACTGTTACTGAATTTTTCTCTATGTGCAGTGGAAGTCATGATCACTACAACTCAGCTCTATGTGCTTTGGAGTAAAGGATTTTGGCTGCAGAGTCAGATGTTGGCTTCATTCACTTATGCTTTTCAACCATTCCGTTTTTCTAGAAAACGTGAACTCCTGCCTTGGGGATCTTACTGACAGCTGTGAGAAATGATCCATCATCTTTGGGAAAAAGGTTATTTTAATTACTGTTACTACTCTTTCTATTTCTATACCTAAATTATGAAGTAGCCTGGAACCTAATTAATCCAAGATCAAATGGAAAATCATGGGACTCTGTTTCTTAGTTTTAGGGAGATTCGTTCTTGCTTCTCTATGCTGTGTCCCTTATGTGACAGAGTATTGCATTTCAGCAGGAACATGTGCCTGTTGACACCTATGTTGGTTAAAGTGAAACATCCTAGGCACAGCAAGAGCAGAGAGTCAGTACCACAGTGTTCCAAAAAATATTTCCTGGTGATGAGATTTGCAAAACTCCAAATAAAGGCTACCCTTTTTTGTGGAATCAGTATAGTTACAGAAAATGTAGGTAAGAATAATTTTACAACATAATTTGAAAGCAGTCTCCTATGTAAAGTACAATTGTACAAGATTAATTTTCATAGAATTTATGAAAAATTTAGTTAATATTCTTGCTGTTTGACACTTCTCTTGTGTATACAGCGTAAGTGTCACTCATCAATGTAACCTTTAGGTAGACAGGCAGAGGAGCGTGGTTCCATATGTATTGGTGTTTATTCCACTTGTTCTTGGTCCTCCTTGTCATCGCAGAACCATTTAAAAGCCTCCACACTGATGTCAAGTGTGAAGATTGCAAGCCTTGTGTGTTAATGTGGTGATTTGTGAATCTCATAATTTGAGAGATAGAGAAAGGAGGAGAGATGTGAGTTTGAGGAGAGATGTGAGTTCAAGGCCAGGACTGCCCATGTAGCAATACTTGACCTGGTGTCAAAAGTCAGACCAGAGATTCCATAATGACAAAGTAGTGTTTGAATGAACAGGTTGATGTTCTGGATACTGAAAACCACTATTTAAGAATTCTTCTGTGATTTGGTCACACTTAACTTGTAACAATATAAACAAGTTCTATATGTACCTAGAGCTTCTTATTTTATTGGTTTGTCCTGAGTGAATTACATTTATCTCAAAAGTTTAATTCATGACATGGACAGCTCTTCAATTCATTTACTAAAGAATGAAAACGGTTCAATTTTATGTATATAATACAAAAGTACTGTTAAGTGTATTTGAAGTGTAGGAAAATAGTTGTGCATATGTCTAAAGATAAATAGGAAATTGAAAGATTTACTTATATGATAACTCCTGGATTTCTGTAGTTTGACCTACTCGGGTACCTGTATAAATCTGAAACCAAAGGCTGACCAGGGTTCTGCTGCTCCAGTGAGAAGCTGAGTGTGCTTGTGGTCCTCTCTCTGTGTTGCTTTCCTTCCAGAAGTAGGCAGCATAGCAGGGATTGGTTTACTGAGAAATATGGGGCTTCAAGGAGTCATAGGAGAGGATTGAACACTATAGTCTGAATATCAGCTGATTTAAAGGCTCCAGATGGCTCCCCTGTCACCATAGCACCCACATGTACAACATGAAGCTGTAATGTCTGTGTTTTGGCTACCATATTTTGTGGTCTCTTGAGTATAGTTTCCATGTCATTTCTTGGAGACACCCTCATGGTGTTTGTTACAATCAATAAGGAACACACCAACAAATCTGTAACTTGTTCTTTCAGAGATCATGAGGGGCAAGTCCAGAGATGCGAAAGGTCAGGCTCTAGAGCCTCAAATTGAAGGAGTAGAGCACATTTTACTGTTCCTCTGACAGGGACTGTACCTGACTGTGCTGTGGCACCATGCAGAGGATATCAGTGAAGTCCAATCATTCTCATGTGGAGTCTCACTGGAAGGCAATTTCCAGATGCTGGTGTCCTGTGATCCACACTGAACCTTCAGTAACTCCTGTGCTTTCCACATCTTCCTCAGCATCTCAAATCAGATTTTGGCACCAAAAGGGAGTTGGGAGTAGCCCCTCCACGTTAGAAATTTTATCGCATTGTCTTTATATCTAGTTAAGGGATATTGCCTACTTGGCCCCTTTCACTAAATTTTTGCTTTTTTAAAAGCAATGCCTACAAATGGAAAAGACATAATCCATGAGTGGAGGTTCACCGATATTCAGAAAAAGGGAAGGGCAAATTAGACATTTAAAGACACTCATGACAGCATATCAACATTATATTTATTCAAAACTATATACAAAATGTAGGAACAATATTCACAGTAAGATTGTTGACTACAAGTCTTTAGATCTATAAGAGGTCTATAGTCATCAGGTTATAACTCTGGCTTCTTCTAGGTGGCTCCTGTGAAGATACATAGGAACACATGTCTAGTCTTTGAAAAGCCACCTAACATGGCTCCAGAGGATGATGTTCAGGGTTTTCCATTACATATTTTTAAGAAAGCTAAGCCTGCACTCCTGGGTCATGACATCTTAATCCAATAGGTTACTTGATGTTTCTAATCAGGTCAGGCTGAGGGCCAAAGTCAGCAATGAGAAGCTTGGGAACCTGCTATATCTGAAGATTAGGATTTGGACCACAGTCTGGAAGCTTGTGAGGCTGATATCACATACCACAATACCAACTCTGGTCTTTGTGGTTGTTCCATTTGTCTCTGACTGTGGAGTTGGCCAACACAAACACGATCACTTGTCCTGGATCTAATGGAGACAGCGGGGCAAATAATGGCCCCTGATTGGACACAGAGGATTTCCTAAGTGTGGCCCGCTCACCGTCCATTCCAAGCTGAGTCCCTTTCTTGTGTCATTCATGTGTGGTCCAGATTATTTCGTAGACTTTATGTTGCATTGGCACATTTGTGAGAAGTTTGCCGGTGTTGATCCAGTCACAACTATAACCCACAAACCATAACAGAACCAAAAGGAGCTTTCAGACAATCTCCTTATTGATCATTATTCATGGACTGTTATCTTTTGTCAGTCACTGGTGTAGATTTTAATTGTCTTGGTGAAAATGGCATGGCCTTGGTCACAAATAAGGCAATGGTGTGGTCAAGAAATAGACATGAAGATAATGACTGGTATCAGACGAGGTTATAGATATTGGGGGGACCATTTCCTTTGATCCTTTAGATGGGGTTTGGTCCCTTTAAGGCCTTGTTCCTTTGGGGTGGAATTTTGTCCTGGAATGCATAGAGCAAGGGTATGGCCCGCACACCCTGGAAGTTGATTACTCAGGCTACCTGCAATTCAGGAGCAGACTGATTTCCTTTGAGGTCTGTTCATGGCCTGGTTCCCAGTTTAGTAATCAGGTAATCAACAGGATATGAATCTTGAAAGACATAATGTGTCCAGAAGTCAGTTACTCAGAATAAAACCAAATATGCATTAGTCAGCAGTTCTTAGAAAACAGGCTGTGAATGAGTTACATTTGAGATCTGTTCATTCCTAGAGATATCAATTTAAGATTTCTTTAATTCAAGGTAAGGTTCTGTCTGAGACAGCTGCAGGACCTGTATGACTCTCTTTTCAGTATGGTATTACTATATTGATAAATCATTTCTGTGAGCCCATGGCACATTACAGTGGTGGTTTATACATGCTTACATGTTTTGACGGTGTGGACTGCATTGAATGAAGTAAGTGTGTGTGATTTGCACACCTATTGTTGAGCATATCAGCTTCCAGTATGCTCAAAAAGATAGTGTAGTTGAGGCCTCAATTATGGATGACCATGCTGGAATGTGTCGGCATTGATGATTTAGCTGATTGTAAAATCGCTGAACATCAGGCCTAGGCGCAGTGTGCCTCGTGGTACATGGGCTAAACAAAATGTTGATTCACTTTAGTTTTGTCCTTGGCATTCCTCTTTATGTCCAGGGCTTATTGGGGAGGATGGATCTGGGCCATTTGTCCCAGGACTCTGATTGATCTAGGCCTGGGACACTTCTGGTTCTGATAAACCTTGGACACACACCTTTTTGTGTGGTTTGTCCTGGCCTTGGCTCATTTTGTATTTTCACACGTGTCTTCATGCTCTGGGCCTATGCTGGGCCAAAGGTCAAACTGTTGTCCTTGAAGAGGACACAGAGGATTTCCTGGGTGCGGCCCGCTCACCCTCCTTTCCAAACTGTCTCCCTGTCGTTTGACATTCATGTGTGGTCCAGAGTTTTTTGAAACCATGATGTTGCCTTGGCACATTTGTGAGAAGTTTGCCTGGCCTGTGTTGGTCCAATCATGAATATAACCCACCAACCAGAATGGCAGCAAAAGAAGTTTTCAGACAATCTCCTATTGTTCAGAATTCATGGCCTGTGATCTGATGTCACTCACTGGTGAAGATATTAATTATCTTGGTGAACATGGCATGGCCTTGGTCACAAATGAGGCTATGGTATAGTCAAAACTATTGACATGAAGATAATGCCTGGCTTCACACCATTTCACCATTATAAGGGCATCCATCCATTTACTTTAATCCTTAAGATGAGGTTTTGTCCCTTTAAGGCCTGGCTCCTTTGTGGTGGGATTTGATCCTTTAATGCATAGTGCAATATTGCGACCCTCACACCTTTGATGATGATCACTCAGGCTACCTGCGCACTAGGGACAGATTGATTTCCTATGAGGTCTGTTCATGGCCTGGCCCCTAGGTGAGTAATCAGGTCATCATCAGGATCTGAATCTTGGAAGATATAATGTGTCCAGGAGTCAGTTACTTCTGGATTTGGAGTAAGGAAGATGGCTTTAGTTCTGTTTTATATTCTGGCTCTAACTTCAGTCATAGTGGGTACAATCACTAGATATTAAAGGTGGGAAGAAGCAAAGTTCCTTCAGAACCCCTGCATTAGGAGTCTGTGAAGCTCTTCTCACCACCCTGGACACTTTGGGCTGTTAGAGTTGTCAGGTGACCAGGACTTAGGGCACAACAGCAGGCTTCATCGTGCCCCAGTCTGTGTTACACTTTGGATGTTGTCGTCCCTTGACCTCACCCTCTGGTGATTTGTGGGTGTCATCTCTTTGCATCCTTGTTTGGCAATTTCCTCGGCCTACATCCCAATAGATAAATTATTTCCACTGCAATTGCACAGGTCCTGTTAAAAGGTACCTTGACCGGGCAGTAGTAGCACATGACTTTAATTTCAGCACTCAGGAGTAAGATACAGACAGAACTCTGGTCTACAAGAGCTAGTTCCAGGACAGGCTTCAAAGCTACACAGAGAACCCATGTTTCAAAAACCAAAAAACGGGCACCACTTTGTACCTCATACCCTTTATCGTCCTCCACTTCTCAGTACAACACACTGACATTTAATTATGCTTTATCTGATATATCCTGCACGCATGTCTCTCTCCACAGAGTTCAAACCTCACTGCACACCTTCAAATTCTTCTGAAACGCAGTCCACTCCGTACACAGGGTTACCTGCCAATAATACCACAGCCTTTTCCTTGGAAATGAGTTGTTCTATGAAGTAACAGAGGCCTCACTATACCTCTAGCCAGTTTCTTCCTCTCTGAGTGTAGCGTGAGGAACAATCATGTTTTCCCACACCATGCTAAGGACACTCTCCCAAGAAAGTAGAAGACTGTCCATGTGTGAGGTCATCATCTTATTAACAAAGTAGGAATATAAAATCACCATGACTCATATCACAAATTAGGGAAGATATGGGACAGCATTCACTGTCCTCTATAAGTTATTTCATACGTATGATATATACCTGTAGACATGAGCACCCATAAAGGTGAAAAACTTGTACAGAAGTAGAGAATTAGATGGTAGACCACTGTCATGATGTTTCTTATGACAGTGACAGTAATGTGTGTTTGAATATTGTGTCAGCTATGAGGACAAATGAAAACATTGATACAACAGAAGTCCTTAGTAAAGCAGACATCAGTATTCTGGATGCTTTTCCTCCGGTCCCTGGACAAGCTCTGCGTGGTGGTTTAATATGGGCAGCAATCAGCAATGTTCATCCTTGCTTCCCTAGGCTACAAGCTGGAGTCCTGGACCATTGACACCTGTGCAGCTTCCTTCCAAGGCCCCTCTCTCTGGTGAGAAGAGGGCTTCTCTCCCCGTGGTTGTTGGATGTTAGGCTCTCTGCTGTGAGACTTCTCATCCCTGCTCCTTCTTGTCCTGCTCAGAATGAACTGTCCTTAGGCAGGAACATTTCCAGTCCCTCACTCTGTTTAGTCTCCATATTTAAGGTTCCGATGAAGAAGTGCCTCACGCTGAGTGAGTTACTCATGTCCTGAATTCAGGTAGTGTCACCCACCCCGCAGAAAACAGACCAAACTCACCCAGACACTTGGGCCTGCTCTGAATCCCTCCCCACCTTGGTGGACTCTGTGTTGTCCTCAGGTAAAGAACACTGCTGGTGCTAAGGCAGGGGTTCACCAGTGACGTCATAGAAGCCTGACCTCACTTCATTCTGGGAATCTCAAAGGGCATCATGGCCTCAGTTATTTCCCAGCTTGGTTCCCCCTCGTTCTCTCCCAAGCTGTGTCAGGCATCCCTGGAAACATCTAGATTTGTGGTAGTAGCTTGAAGTGTTTCACAGAGAAACCTCACACAGGGCCCTCTGGGCTTGGCCACGTACTGAGAAGGGAGATGAGTATTGGAGCGTAGGCGGCTGCGAGACCCTGCCAGCTGGGCCAGGGCCGGTGACAGAAGGGCCAAGGAGGGGAGAGAGGCAGCGGCCTACGGCCCGCGGCTAGGTCCTAAAGACAAAAGCGGGGCCACAGTTGCAAATGCCACCAAAACAGAGATCGCAATGACCTTGTGCCATGAGCCTGTAGAAGGGGCTACGCAGCGCCTGCGGCTATGAGCCCACGACAGAGGCCAGCAGACCGTTCTGGGACATACAGAGTCCATACGCGAGACTCCGGGGGGCTACACGACCTAGGCTGGCAACTCGAGTCCAAAAATCCCGGCGGCAAGAGCCAGGCCTTGGCAGTACAAAAGGATAGTTAAAAATCCACCCGCCAGAGCTCAGGAGGCAGTCTACAGATGGAGTGGGCTGTGTCCCGCCCCCCTGCTGTGCAGCATGGCTTCAGGTAAAGGTGAAAAGACAGTTTTAGATTAAAACAGCCTCTAGATAAACAGGTTAAAAATGCTTTTTTTCCATTTCACAATTTTGCTTCTTTGTCAAAAGACTGCTGTTTATAGGCAGACAAATTCATTTCCAAGATAAATTGATTTCAGTACTGTAACTCTGTAGTAAGTTTAAAGTCAAAAATTGTAATGGATTCAAAAGTTCCTTGATTTACGTGGGATTTTAAGATTGCTTAGGCTATCCTGAGTTTTGTCTTTTCTCATTAGGTTGAGGATTGTTTTTCTTAAAAGGTCTAAAAATTTCGTTATAAATCTAATGGACATTTACATTAAATTTGTAAATTGCTTTCAGTAATATTGTCAATTTTGCTATATTGGTGCTGTCTTTACAAGAGAATAGGAGATCTTTCCATTGTCTGATGGCTTAAATTTCTTAAAAGTTTTAAAGTTCATTTACATTTCTCCAACAGTTAGAGATGTTATATTTGAGCATTTTTTAAAATGTATTTCAGTCATTTTAAGTTCATCTATTGAGAGTTTTCAGTTTAGGTCTATTACATATATTTTTATTTGATTAATTGTTCTTTGGAGGACTAATTTCTGGAGTCCTTATGTTTTTTAAAGTGGATTGATGACTGGTGAAGATTTTCCAATTCTATAGCCTGATATGTCTTGTTGACTGTCCTTTGCTATACGGAAGCTTCTCAGTTCTGCAGATCCTATTAATTATTTCTCTAAATTTCGGTGGGAGATGATGTGCCCCCATAAAAATGACATTTTGGATAATTCTATCCAGTTATGTGAGTGCTCACATACTGGATCAGATAATTATTTTCTGCCCCTAGAAAAGTTCCAGGCGGAGCTGGTTTTAGGAGTTGTTTTTTTGGGGATGACCATTCAGTCCAATACAAAGGCCTGCTGCAGTGGCGCAGGCCAATAGGATTTACTCTTTGGAGCAGAGACCTACAGGTCTCTAAGTTCAAGACCAGCCTACACCAGCCCGGGCTGTATTAAGTTTGAACCTGAGTTTTTTATTACTCTTAAGTATTAACTTGGGAGAGGAGTTTGTTTATGTCTCTCCTAGAGATCCAGTCCATTTGGGTCCTGCTGCTTTGCTGTGCTGTACATGGCTGTGGATTCTCCTGCCCAGAGACCTAAAGACGGGACAGACACTGGTGAGAGAGATCCAGTGACACTGCCCTGCCAACTAGAGCTGCAGCATTCCTGAGAAGCTGGCTAAAGTGATCCAGTGCCTGGATTTACCCCTTTCCAGCTCCCTCCCCATGTTCTGTCAATCATTGCTGTGCTGTCATTGCTATTCATTGCTGTACTACTAAATTTTCCCTTATCCTGTCAGCTATTTCTGCTAAACGCTGTGGGTACCTTCAAAGCAGGTTGCAAAATGCCATGGCCGTTCAAATTCAGCTAAATTTACAATTGGATACTGCAGTTAATCTTTACAAACTGGGTATGGGTTTTTGACCTCTGCTGGTCACAAAAAGGCTTTTGCTGTTTTTTCTCGGACCCCAGAATACAAGATTTACTAATTGGCTGTCATTTAATCTGGCTAGTTATTCCAGCGGCTCCATTCACCGGTGCTATAGCCCTACTCAAGGGGCTCTATGCTGAGCTGACTTTTCAGGGATTGTGCGGGCACAATCTCCTTTAGGGATGCTTATATATGCTGGAGCGTGACCTTCATGATTCAAAGTCAGTGACTACTCAAGTCAAGTCCTTTTGGCATTCGCCTCGGAGTATCTTTCAGCATAAATCTGGCTGAACTCAATGATATTGACTAGTGAGCCTATGATGGGTAAGGTTTCTGGCAGGCTTTCCCTGACCTAAGACAGGATTGTGGTGGACCTGAGCACCCTCCAATGATGAGTAAGGGGTCTGTCTGATGCCATGCCACCTAAGACAGGCCCTAGTCATCATATTTTGTATAAAAGAAGGACATATAAGACCCTGTCTTCCCTGTTCCTCAAGGCCAAGCACAGGATGCGAGAACTGTTTATGCTAATCAGCCTAGCTTCCTCTGCTCAATTCTGCCAGCCCGAGGGGATTAGTTCAGAACCTTGTTTCCGTCTTTGATATGGTAATTTCACCTGCTAAGGAGGGTTCTCACAGGCGCCCTGAATCTCCTCCTATCTGTCTGTCAGGGTTTCCAGCTCGGTACCCCTGCCTGGAAGTTCCTGCCACTCGGCACCAGGCACTCAACACCGTGATCTCACACCTGACTGGGAGGAAGTTCTCCACTTCTGGGGCCAAAGTATTTAACCCTGGATTAAGTTTGAATAAACAGGCATTCTCCTCCTCTTGAGAATGACTTGAACTCTGTATCTGTGTGTGTGTCTTGTGTTTTAACCTCTAGGACCTTATCCAGCTCATGAAAGGTATGGAATCGCGGTCCATACCAGGTGGGTGGTGATGCAGACCCTGTGGCGTGGAACTTCGCCTCATTTCACAATGCTGAGTGTGAGTGCCAGTGGAGTCTCAGCACATTTAGGACATCTTTATCACTCCTTTCCCCATGAGCAGGGGACACTAGGAAAGTAGATCAGAGAGATTGGAAGACAAGAGGTCAGAGAGGACCAGAGAGGAACAGCATCTCCTGGACAACACTAGACTGCTGCACTCATGAAATCTCAGCATCTGTGGTAGGCTCTATAAGAACTGTATAAGGTCAAGCCTGTCAACATTCCAGCACAGGGGGTGGAGGGTCTCAAGGTCTCTAGTCACTGTCTGAGGAGCTGTGGATGGCTGAAGGTTTCTGCTGAAGGAGTCAGCTTTCTTTACTGTGCAGCTCCTGGCAGATCTGCTGTGGGTCAGGGTGTGGCCCCATACCCAGCAGTCCCTGGACAGGTCCAGCCAGAGTCAATGGGCTGTTGGCTTTCTTTCTAATGAGCAGACAAAGCTGGGAGGTGGAAAGATGATGGCTGATCTGGAAGGAGTTAGGGTGAGGAGTGCAGAGTAAATATGATTAGAATTCTAAGAATTGCATTAGTCAGCAATTCTTAGAAAACAGGCTGTTGTGTGAGTTACATTTGAGATCTGTTTATTCCTAGAAATATCAGTTTAAACGAAAAAGCTCAGAGCAGGAGTTAGAGTCTTCTTCAGAATGGACACATCAGGTGGTTTTCCAATACCAAATGACAAGCCCTGAAGGCATACACACACAAGTAACATGATATGGACCGAACAGATTGTACTTACAGAGTTAGGATTCTCCCTGCGCGTGCGTGTGTGCATGCACACACACACACACACACACACACACACACACACACACACACACAC